TACTGTTTTCTAGTTATTGCAGCAGTTTTTGTCAAATAATGAGGTCTTGTCCCAGAAACTTTGATCTTTAAGTTTATCAAATACTAGATTACAATGATCATGTGCTACTATGTCTTGTGTACCTAATCTATCTATTCTATTTCACTCTATTTCTTAGCCAGTATCAAATAGTTTTGATTATTACTGCTTTATAATATAGTTTGATACCTGGTATGGATAGACAACCTTCCTTCACATTTTTTTCATTGATTCCCTTAATATTCTTGACCTTTTGCTCTTCAAGATGAATTTTGTTATTATTTTTCTAGCTCTATAAAATATTTTTGGTAGTCTGATTGGTATGGCACTAAGTAAATTAATTTAGGTAGAATTGTCATTTTTATTGTATTGGCTTGGACTACCCATGAGCAATTGAAATTTTTCCAATTGTTTGGAACTTTATTTGTATGAAAAGTGTTTTGTGATTGTGTTCATTTATTTCCTGGGTTTGTCTTGGCAGGTAGACTCCCAAGTATTTTATATTGTCTACAGTTATTTTAAATGGAATTTCTCTTTCTATCTCTTGCTGTTAGGCTTTGTTAGTAATATGTAGAAATGCTAATGATTTATGTAGGTTTATTTTATATCCTGAAAATTTTCTAAAGTTGTTAATTATTTCAACTAGTTTTTTTTAGTTGATTCTTTAGGATTCTCTAAGTATACCATCATATCATGATGTGATAGTTTTGTTTCCTCATTGTCTATTTTAATTCCTTCAATTTCTTTTTCTTCTCTTATTGCTTTGGCTAGCATTTCCAGTACAATATTGAATAACAGTGGTGATAATGGACATCCTTGCTTCACCTCTGATCCATTTGGGAAGGTTTCTAGCTTATTCTCATTACAGATAATGATTTTCGATGGTTTTAGACAGATACTACTTACCCTTTTAAGGAAAGCTCCATTTATTCCTATGCTCTCTAGTGTTTTTGTAGGAATGGAAGCTGGGCTTTGTCAAAAGCTTTTTCTGCATCTGCTGAGATAATCATATGATTTCTGTTTTGTTACTGATATGGATAGTTTTCCTAATATTGAACTAGCCCTGCATTCCTGGTATAAATCCCACCTGGTCATAGTGTGGTATATTACTGTAATCTCCTTACCAGTTCTTCCTTCCTTCCTTCCTCTCTTCTCCTCTCTTTTTTTCTTTCCCTCCCTCCCTCCCTCCCTCTCTTCCTTCCTTCTTTCCTTCCTTCCTTCCTTCCTTCCTTCCTTCCTTCCTTCTTTCCTTCTGAATCAACGGTATGTCCTGACATTGTACAGACAGAGCCTCAGGCCTCTTTCTTCCTCTTTTTGAGAAAACAATAGATTGCCCAATACATAGGAAAAAGATACAAAGCACTTACAAAATATCTGAGGAGATGCCATTCTGAGATTAGCCAGTAGGTGGCAGCCAAGGAATGCTGAGATCATTTGGAGATGGCTGCTTGTTGGTGTCTTGCTCCTTTATTAGGGGCCTGGATAACAACCTTGCTCAGGGCCTTTGAATGGTAAGACCAGCCTACTCTGAGGCTAAGCAGGGTAAGTGGAGGAGGTGAACCAGACACGAGATAAAGAAAACGGCATTCCCACGATTCAGGGACAAAAAAAAGAAAACACAACTTTTGAGATGAAAATAGGTCAGGGTCCTCCTACAGTGGGAAAAAGAGAAGGGGGAGGAAGAATACACAGGAAGAGTTGGATTTGCCTCTCTTATCCATTTGGATGAGGGAAAACAACTTCCAAGAACTGCTGCAAACAGAAACACATGTAACCTCATCTGGGGTGCAGAAGCTGACCATTTCTGTACATTACAATAGTAACTGGCTTTTAGGACAGCACTCTTAACTCATATTTATATGGTGCTTCATAACTGGCAGAATGCTTTTCTCCCAATAGCCTTGTGAGATTACTGTTATCAATGCAAGGCTAACCTTGAGGCCTGCAGAAACAGTGTTCTCAGAAACAATGATCCGAGATTTCATTATAATGAGGTTCCTCCAACTTCTGGTAACTAACACCGTCCCTCCCCACCCCCCAGCCTTTGAATGGAGTCCAAGATGAGCCCTCCTTAGACTGAATTCTGCGTTACACTATGTCATGTTATAGTAAAGCTCTGGTGTCTCATTTATTTGTGTTGCTCATGGATCTGGCCTTACCTCATTAGAATAGCACAGCTTGGGTTAGCCAAGTTCATTCCCGTAACTTATTGTGGGATAGATATGCACAACAGGATTATAGATCTGGAAACATACTTCTTGATCATTCAACCCAACCTCTTCATTTTACAGATGAAGAAACATAGATGCTTGTTTTGGGCAGAAATGGGACTAGAACCCAAGTCTCCTGATACTGGAGCATAATGTTCACTACTCACTACACTCCATCCTGGGGCCTGTTTTAATTCCCCCAGTTATTTGTGCTTTATCTCTCTTGAAATTACTTTGTACTGTTTTGTATATACTTTATTTTTACTTATCCATGTATATATTATGTCTCTCCCTTCCCTCCTCCTAACAGAGTATAGGCTACCTGAGCGAAGCAACTTTCTTGTTTCTGCATCTCCAAGGTTCAGCAGAGTCTCTGACACATGGCAGGTGATTCAAACACATTCGTTGAATTAAACTGATTAATACATGACTGACCTCATCCTGAGGTGATTATGGGTTTTATTTTGATATTTGACAGGTTCTAAACCAGCTTTGGCCAAAGTCACATATTCATTTGTTTTCTGAATATGCCTTCATTACATTCCTACCAAGAGGGACCAAACAGCTATATGACGAAGTGATTGTTCATTAATTGGTTTAATAAGATAGTAAGTAGATTCAGATAAGGTTCTCCTTAATGTCTGAGAGCAGACTTGAGGTGAGCCTGGATTCTCAAAGCCAGTGCTAACCGGATTCAAGCTCTGGCATGTCCTACTAAACTAAAAAAATTTGTGTCATGGGTCAGCCTCCCTGACTTGCTAATTAGCTGGCTAGCTGCAGGATTCTGAAAGTTTGGTTATAACCTTTCTTACATAAGTTAAGAGTTATTTAATACTACATTATTTAATAGTAACCTAATGAATCTGCAGAAATGGTGGCTTGCCCACATCAGTAAAATTAGCATCAAATCATGAAATATCAGATTTGTTTTCTGGTCTCTTTTCGTAACTCTTTCTCAATGCATCTCATAATATTTACTTTCAACAAGAACCTTATTTAGGTTTATACATTTAATGTTGGACAAACATATTATAATTATTCTTATTGAGTTTATTTGAAGGCAGGCACCATGTTTTTGCTTTTCTTTATATCCCTAGTACTTAGAACAGTACATGGCACATAGTAAGTGCTCAATATATGTCTATGGATTGCCTGATTGAAGGCTTTTTTTTAAAAAAATCCCTTGAAGGGGGAAAAAGATCTCCTGGCTCCACCACACATATCTAGGAGCACTGCCTTTGCCTTGGAATCAGACAATTGGGATTCCAGTCCTAGATCTGTCACTTACCAGCCCATGTGGCCAGAGGCAAAGAAATCACTCTCTCTGAGCCTTCGATTCTTCTTCTGTATAAAAAAAAAGGGGGGGGGGTGAGTGGGTGTGTGTGCTATAATAATACTTAACTACCTACCTGACAGGGTTTTTGTGAAGATCAAATGAGATAATTTGTGTAAGATGGTTTTGTAAAGGATAATTATTAAGATATTTTTAAAACTGCTCAGTCCCTGAGAAGACACCTGGCTTTCTTTTGAAATCCTTCTGTCTCCATACTTGTTCCCACCAAAGCCACATATTTCTCACAGATTCTCTGCATATGTTCTTGGAATATTTCACCTTAGTGCAACAGCAGTATTTATGAACAATTATTCAGTTTAATCCATAATTAATGATGAGGAGGAGGAGTAGGTGGAAGATGAAGATAAGGATAAGGATGAGAATGAAGGAGCTGAATTCTCCCCCACTGTGAGCCTGTGGAGCAAGGGTTCTAAAAACCACAGAAATTACCACTGGTAGCCCTTCAGTTTTCAAAATTCGGACCTCCCTCAAGCTGGTGGCCCTGAACTTAGTCACTTTCATTAATGTGTAAGAACCAGGCCTATGGTAATCATTTACATTTTTTAGAATTAGCAGGTGTTCAAATATGCACTATACATTCAACTCTATACAAAATATGGTTTAAAAAATCCAGCCCACAAGGAGCCTACAATATAAAGTTATAAGCAAGGCAAACTTATATGGATGGATAAGGTTTAACCTTATGTTTATTTTCGGTCTTTCACTGTTCAGCTTGGGTCGCTTTGGAGTCACAGGGAGGGCAGAGGGCAAAGAAAACGGGCTGAGGGGAAAGGAAGGAAGGCGGGCTATGAACAGAAAGAATTTGGCATATGCATTATTAGCAGACAGCTATGCAAATGTTTAGGGGGTCCTGCCTTTGGACTGGACATTAGTCCTTTGCTGAGTGATTGGGGAAGCCCCCCAAATCGGGCTTGAGGCAGCAGGGTCCCAGCAATCCTACCTCTGTCCTGCCCCTAAGCCTACCCACCGTCTCTTTCCTTTCCCTTTCCTTCCGTTCTCTTTCCTGGGCTAGTAGTGTCTAGAAATCTGGTCCCCGTCTCTGGGTGGAATGAAAACTTAGTCCTGATGATTACACCCATTTATTAGTTCTCTCTAGTGCCTTTCTTCCCCAGAACACAAATGAGAGAGGATCTTTGTCAAGCTGCGGAAGAATAACCTCTAACTGCAACCTAAGTGTTTTCTCTTTCCGTTATTATTTTTCCTGGTATCATTGATTAAGTCCACACTATATTTAATCAGTACTGGCAGAAAACACTCTCACACGCTCAGGCGTGCATACACACACACACACACACACACACACACACACACACAACACACCACCACCACCACCACCACCAACAACAACAACAACAACCCACGACCAGAGTGATTTTCCAATTTGTTTGCTGCTTGCTGCTTAAACACCAAGACATTAGGACACGACTTTCTTTTCAGTTTAATGAGCAAAAAGAAACGGGGAAGCAGTGTACAGAGAAGGGGGGGGGTGCGCGGGAGGGGGAGCAAGAAGGAGAATGCCAAGGAGCAATTATACAAAAATATATACTGTGCTGATTAGGGATTCCTTCTCCAGCCTACTTTGGCTCAAGCTAAATCTTTTTCTAATGAGATATGGCTTATCCAGATCAGAGCGCACAGGAAAAAGTTGCAATTAACTTTTAAAAGAAGAAGTGAGTAAAGAGAAAGGAAGAGAGGAGGGAAAAGGATGGGGGAGGGGTGGGGAAGAAGGAAAAAAGAGGAGGATGGAAAAAGAGGGATTTCAGTCAGAATGGAATGGAGTGGAAAGCATTCTTCTAACATGCATGTCAGTGCATATGCTTATGATGGCTTGTTATCTTGATTATATATGTTGAGTCTATTATTATTTCTCGGTTGAGTTTTAGTGCTGTATTTTTTTGTGGGGGGGGGATGGAAGCCACTTGTAAAAACTGCCTGCTCCCGCGGGCGGGCCTCTGCCGGGGATGGGGGTTATCTGCCCTTTTGTACTAGCTGAATTCAGATTCAAAGAGTAATTTATCATGGCGATTCCAGTACTCCAATAGGCCGGATAATGTGAGGAGCTGCTTGGGGCCAGGGTGGGGGTGGGATAGGGACGGGCCGGGCTTTCATAGAGAAAGAAGAAATGAAATACACACGCATACACACACACGCACGCACGCACACACACCACTTTATCTCTGGATTATTAAAGCGGTTGGGGTATATTGAGGTTGAATAATAACGCCCGGCCCCGGTACACTCTAGCGTCCTCCTAAAGCGTTTCGGAAGAACTCAGTTGCTTTGGCCTGGGCCCTGTGGGGCCTGTCATCGTTGAATGGACGAGGGGTGGATTTGTCTTGAGTGACTTTTTTCGCTTCTTCTGGAGCAGGGGGAAGGAAAACGGTCCCCAAACCTCATACTTTCTCGGTCCCCGCCTTTTCTCCCAGATTTTTTACAGAAAGTCAGAGATTATGCCCAGGGTAAAGCCCCGGGCTCTGCCCAAACAGAAGGTGCCCTAGTCCTAGAGGTGCAGCCGCGGAGGGCCAGCCGGGCCCGGAAAATTCCGCGGAGCCAGGAGCGATGGAGGTCAATGTACAGCTAGGCTTTCTATGCCTGAAGCATCTTCTTCGGCGAGAGTCCTCCCGGCGTCAGCGCAGGTCATGGAGAGTCAGGGACCTGGAAAGAGATGCAGGAAAGGGACTGTCTGTGGAGCAGAGTCCAAAGCTGGAGGCTCGTTATTAGCAGCGGGCCTCCTCCTCCTTCTTTCCCCTACTCCTCCATCTCCCCCACTGTCAAAGGCCCACGGGTCTGTTTCCAGGGTCAGGCAAAGGAACTAGAAGAATGAGTAGTTGAAGAGAAAGGGTTCCAGGCTCTCTACCAATGTATCCGAATTCTGATCTCCTATTTCTAGCAGGGTATCCTCTGTAGATGCACTGTCAGATCCTCCTCCCTCCTTTCCCCAACAACTCCCCGCCCGCGAGAAGGAAGAAAGGTGATGAACATAATGTTACAGAATGACAGAGCTGGAAGGAACTATGGACAATATCTAAGGGTGACCCCACTCCCCGCATTCAGAAGAGTCAAGGACTCAGAGAGGACATGACTTACTCAAGGTTACATAGTGAGATATTGACAAAGATAGAATCAGAAACCAGATCTCCTGATTGCCAGGCTGCTGCCCGTTTTGACACATCCAAGAAGGAGGGAGAGTCCTCCAGCCTTAAATTCCTCTCCCTTGATAGCTTCTACTCTTGGGAGCGGACAGGTATGCTATATTTGAGGGAATGTTTTGCTATGGGAAGACTGAGTTGTTCGCAACAAATTGCAGTACGACTTGTACTACCGCTCCCAAACCAGGCTGGAGAGTCGTTCACTAGGCAAGGTGGGATTTCCCAGCCCGAAGACCTCCCGCCCCTTGAAAGGTTTCCCAGCGGCAGGTGGCCCGAGGCATCAAGGGTGGCCAGATGCGCTTTGGGATCGGCTGAGAGCTTGCTCCACGCGAGATATGGGGAATTATGCTTATAACGTTCCTTCGAAAGTACAGAGGCGCGGGCGTCACGTCCTCCACCCCCTATCCTCTCTTTCTGCCAACAGACCAAGTTCTAAGGGCATTGGGTTACTGGGACTCGCGGAGGTTAACTGATTCCAGAGGAGTGAATCGAACTGCTAAACCTACGGGGAGAAGTACGGGCTCAGGATTGGGCGATGCCCATGGAGATTTACAAAGAACCTGTTTTCTAGAAGTTCTTTATCCCTTAACCTCTTTTTCTCCCTCCTCTCCTTTTGGGGAAAATAGGGATCACTTGGTTCCGAAAGGCTCAATCTGAACGATGGATTAGTCCCGGGACGCAGGAGGTCCCCAAAGGCAAGGGCAAGGACTCTGCCCCAGCCTGACTCCTGAGCCCAGAGGCAGAACTGCCGGCCCGCTGGCCTTTCTTCTAGCAGAGCCATCTGGAAGAAAAAAGAGCCCCACCCAGCGTACTTTCCTCAGGCCAAGCCCCAAAGCCAGGGCGTAAAGCCTCCGTTTTTGGTTCTGGGATTGGCTGCGGGACTCAATAAACGCCAGTGAAACTCCACGACCTGCCAGTACCTGGGTTTACCAGAGGCTGGTTTAGCTACCTCCTGACTGGTTCCGAAAGTCCCTAGATCTGTTTAGGGACAGAAGGGAGGGGCTGGAGCCTCTCGACGTTTGCCGGTGTAGGGTAAGATAGGTCAAGTAGGGAGGGGGCAGAGGCAGAAGCCTGCCACACTGGCAGGCTGAATGCAGTTTTTCTCTGCCCTTTACCAAACTGTAGGAATTGTCATTTGCCCCTTCTCTGGATCGGTCTCCCAGTAATTTGTCTCCCAATTCCTCCTTCGATGTTAGGTGTGGGGGAAGATCCAGAACGCATCATCACTGCAACGAGGAGTGCTGCGAAAATAAAAAGAAAGCAGAAAAGAGAGAAGGAGGGTGCAGGTCTCAGAGATTCCTATTGGAGTTGCAGGAATCCCCCCAAATTTTTTAATCTCTTCCCTGTTCTACAAAGAGGATCTCCCATAAACCCCCTAGGACTACTGTGATATAGGATATCTTCTCCAGAAACACCGGACCGATATAGGCAGCCCCCCCACCCCCCATCTGGTTTCACTTTGGAAGAATTGAGCCTGAGCTAGCTCGGCACAGCGAAGCTCAGATAGGGTCCCCCAAGTATATACCCTCAGAGACATATCTAGAGATGCATGAATAAATGCCTATGCCCTCTATATTCTTCATTTCAGATCGTCATACTTAGACCAGAACCCCATACTTCAATCCACTTCAGCATTGAAGAAATGAGGTGTGTGTGTGTGTGTGTGTGAACTTTCAGGGGGCAAGGGCCAAGTTATGAGCTGAAAACCAGTTAGTTATTTAAATAAAGTTAGCGTGGCCTAATTGTCTGCTGGGTTATCTTTGTTAATTTTTCTGCATTTTGATTTCTTGTAGCTTCTCTATTATTTGTGAACTTACTTTTTCTCCTGAAAATAGATGTTTCTATGTTAAATAAAGAAGTCTGACCTATGGAGAGGGAGGAAACTATCCTCAGGGCTGGAAAGAGCTGGGTTCAAGTTCTGCTTCTGATGCTTAGTTTTCTGTGTGACCCTGGGCAATTTGCTTAATTTCTAGGTGCTCTGGGGTAACTTCCCTCTAAGCCTATAAATTGATGAGAAAGTGCTCTCCAGCTTTGAGACAGGCAGAGCCACAATCACAAGGCTAATCCTTATCCTTATGTGAAGTACATGACTTGGGGTGAGGATGGTAAGGGAAAAGCGAAGCAGAGACTCCAAGGGCAGCTAGGAGACTCAGTGGACAAATCTGTCCTCAGACACTTACTAGCTGTGTGACTGTAGCAGGTCATTTGTCCTAGTTTCCTCATCTGTCAAATGAGCTGAAGAAGGAAATAGCAAACCACTTCAAGTACCAAGTGCCAAGAAACCCCCAGATAGGATCATGAAGAGTTGTACACAACGGAACAACAGCAACAATAACTGCAGTTGGGGGATGAGGGAAGAGGATACTACTTACTGAGGGGCAGGTCAGGGCTCTTGCCAGGGTTAGCCAAAAAAAAAAAAGAAAAAAAAAGAAAAGGAAAAAGAAAGAAAAAAAAAGTCTGCCTGTGAAGCAGTGCTATAGAATGGGGCAGAATTTTCAGCCAGTGGAGAAAGGAAATGGTTTAAGGACAGGTCTCTCTCTTCCTGTGGCACAGAACTGGTTGGGATCAAAATCATCATAGTTCTTCACCCAATACTTACAAGGATTTTTGCCAACGTGGTGGATATTAGGTAGAAATTGTTCATTCCAAGGTCTCAGATGACTACGATGGTGGTATTTGTGCACCCTTGCAGCACTAACCCCAGTACCATATTGGAACATCTATAGACGATTGTCAGAAGTCATGGTATGTCGAGGCCCCATCTTACCTTTCTACCTCCAGCCCAGTCCACACTCTCTCACCCCATCCCTCAAGACTGAAAGAAGCTTCATTAGGCCTATGGGATTCAGCAGCCTAGCATCTGCAGGCCAGCAGAGCCTCTGAGCCGGAAGTCTTCGATCAGATGGAACAAGGATGGTTAGAGGGGGTTGGGAGGGAAGCGGGGTGGGTTGTAGGATCTGGAACTGGAAGGAAACTGAGAGATCATCTAGTTCAACCTCCTCATTTTACAGATGACAGAATCGGAATCAAGACCCAGATTTTGCCTAGAGTAACTTTCTCAAGGTCACATAGCTAGTAAAGGACAGAGCCAAGATTCTAACCCAGTTCCCCTCTCCCCAAATCCAGTGATCCTTTTAGTCATGCCATGCTGTTCTCTTCCCTTTGGTAACATCTAAAAGAGTCCTCAAAGGAACAGAGGCAAACAGCTAGGGCTCTAAGCTTGGCCTTTTACCTCTGGATACTTCCTTTTCCCAAGGCACAGATTTCCTTCAGCAAGAGGAAAGAGTTTCCATGGCATCCTTAACAAAGTGCTGGGGGTAGGGGTGGGAAGATGGGGGTGGGAGTGGGGAGCTGAAGCAAACCTGGGAAACATCTAAAGTTTTGCCTCCTGGATTTTCCCTCCTCATTGCAAGAGTGAGACATTGGGTGGCAACATCTCTTGTCTCTAAGCCCAGTCATCTTCTTCAGTGTACTTGTTAACCTGTATCCCAGTAAGATGGCTAAACTTTGGGGATCAGAGCAGTCTGGCAAACAGATTAAGCCCTTTGCCCCACCTTTCCCATGTGGGTTCTGGTAGGGGGTCATCTTTGTCCCCTATCCACAACTTCAAACCCCAGGAATTTCCTTAGACTTCGGTCCCCTTGCTTTCTCTTTGGTTGTGCCTTTCACCATACTAGCTGCTGGAGATAATGAGTGCCGTCCCCTATCTCTCCCCGTCTGTAGTCAATCTAATAAGCAAATGTGCTAGAAATACTAGCTAGAGTGCTAAGCTAGAAATTCTTCTTAAACATATAGCAAGGTCAGAGAAAAACAACCAAAAAAAAAGCTCTGAAACAGAAATTGGACACAGGAGGGCAGATGTAGACTGAACAGGAAGTGCTGGCCCAAGGCTAAATGAAACAGCTGTTGCCATTGTTCTGGATTGAAAACTGCCTTTGCAAACTCCACGCGGCCCAGGCTTGGAAAGCAGATGTTAGTAATTACAGCACATGAAACGAAGAGCACAGGATTAGGCAAGTGACGAAAAAGAAATGGTACCAGTAGATTTATAACTCGCTCAGGCAAATCAGCAAGGATGGGGGGTGAGCAGGGAAAATGCAAACACCCCCACTCAGCTTACCATCTGAATCTGCCATATTTACTCCTAGGCCACTCAAAGAATCAGAGAGCTTTGGAGAGCTAAAATATACATCAGATCTTGCCTGATGGGGGCTATCGAGCAGTTCCTTCTATTCGTCTTACAATCCAGGAGCCTTGCAGGGTTATGATTATTTAGATGCTCCTGACCTCAGAGGGATGGAATCTCTAACACTCCACTCAAGCACCAGATAATGATTTCTAGGCCAAAGAACCCAGAGTAAGGGGCCTGGATTGGCAAACATGGATTCATGTGAGATTCAAAGCTGGACAAATCTTCTGGGAGCTTTTGCCCACAGAAAAGTTCAAGTTTCAGGTCCCCTCAGCCCAAAACTGTCCTGAATAAAATCCAGGAGCACATACTCTTTTGCAGCTGAAATTGATTCATGCTTGAAAGCTAGCCCCTATAGTCCTAGAGAAGAGAACACTGGAAGGATGGAAAGCCCAGAGCCAGTGCGGGAAAAACAATAAGCAAAATGAAGTTTCTTGGCCTAATTATATAAATAGAAAGGGCAGAAGGCTTCGCATACTTTCTGAATATTCTCCAATGCTTTTCCATATGAGCAAGAACTGTAACACAAAACAAAACAAAACCCAGACCAAAGCCAACAAAACAAAACAAAAAATTCTTCCATCAAACCACGGCCTCGAAAGCAAGAGAGATTCTGAAAGGTTAGTCAGAAGGTAAAGCATGTGTTTGCCATCTTTGCTCCTGATATGGAAACCATATGCTTAAATACACTAGCAAACATACTTAATATAACACTCCGTTTTATTAAATGTGGTTTTATAAAAAGCTATCCCGAGCCAGGGCACCTTTTCTGTGCCGGTGACTGAAGCTCCGTGAAATAACCGTCTGCACTACAACTATCGCTATACATTTTTTTGGTAAATGAGTTTCGGACCCTTGGAAAATAGACTGGTTCTGATTATTATTGTGAGAGAGAAGGAGAGTATGAGGGAATCTTTTTTTTTCCTCTGATAAATTAAAAGAACTGTAATGGGTGCTTTCTGCAAACCTGTAAAAGAGCAGAGCCATCTGTGACTCATTTAACAGCGCTTTAAAGAAGATTTATTTGATTAATTTGGTCAGAATAGAGAGAATATAGATTTTCCCCTTCTCTGAAACATACATACACAGAGCAGCATAGACATTTCAGAAATGAAAAATGAGTAATTGTGTTATTAGAACTGGTGTGTCTGATGCTAGTTCGGTGGTGAGATAGAAGATTGCTGCCCAGCCAATTGGAATGGATTTAATCAATCCAGGAATGGATTTAATATCCTACAGGCCCAATGCCACCACCAAAGAGAGGTCCCAAGACAGGCATGACATACTCTGCAGGTTTTCTGCTTTGGAAGTTACAATCTGCCTCCACTCCCTTACTCAGCTCACCTCCAGATGCTTATTTCTCTTTTCAAAAGCCAGCACTCTGCCCTCCATGACCAAATGGAGAAAACATAGATCACGAGCTTTATTTGCTGACATGGAGCCACTGTCCTTGCAAGATCTCAGAATGAGTTCTCAGCACAGATGACAGCACAGAGAATGCCCTCATCTTTGTGTTTCTGTGCCGTCTGGTGACAGACCTCAATACTAAACCTGGACCTCGATAACAGCAATCACTTACAACTATTCAGTACTTGCCTAAGAATAACCCTATGAGGTAGGTAGTACAAACTTCTTAGAGTTTCATTTCTGTTCCCAAGGAAAGCTGGCCTCATTTGGCACTTTCTTTAACTCTTCCTGGGAAAACATAGGGAAACAGATATATGCAGAGCAGTCAGTGTTGACTTAGTGCAGGGATGTGAGACTCCAAGTGACTTTATAGGTAAGCCAAAGAGCTCCAGGAATAGCACTGCCCCTAGATCCCCAGATCTTCTTCCAGCCCAGTCCCATAGCAATCATCCAAGAGGGCCAACCCCTGTGGAGAAGGGTCTCTTCATCTATGTCATCACTAATACCAACTGCCAACAAACTGTCACCATTGGGGCAGGCAAGCCAGCCTAGCTAAAGCAGCAAAGTGCCTTGATAGAGAGACAAGTCTTGACCAGGCAGATCAAACCACTGCCACTGGCTTGACTACTATGATTACCACTTCCATCTTGGTGGAGACAGCCCAAGACGCCTTACCCAAAAAGTCCAGAAATAGCAGTGTTGCCCAATCCAGTAGTCTTGTTTCCAGTCTGACTTCAAATCATTATGCAAAGAAGCAACCCCTAGAGGGAGGGGCCTTGCCATCATGACCACCACCAACTCCAAATTCAATCGATTGTCACCACTGAGCAGGTAAGCTCAAAGCCCCCAAGGATAACAAAAACAGAAATGGTTTTATTAATAGAAATGATACTAAAGAAGATATATTACCTTGCCTTGCCATTGGGCCCTAAGTACTACTAAGCTTTGCCATTCACTCTACTGGCTAAAACCTCTTATATTTATGCTTTTCTCTTATTAGAGTGTGAGCTTTTTGAGAGTAGGGACTGTCTTACTTTTCAATTTGTATCTCCAGAGCTTAACACAGTACATAACAAGCACTTAATATATGAGGTTTCATTCATTCATCCCAACATAGAATGCTAGAATTCTGGATCTGGAAACCAATTCCTCATTATTTAGCTGGAGAAACAGAGGTCTGGACTTTCCCAGGATCTAAGAGTTGGAGGAGTGATATTGATTCTTATCTGATTTTGATTTTGCTGCTCCAATGAAATGTAAGCTCCTTGAAGAAAGGAACTTTTTTATTTTCCTTCCTTCCTTCCTTCCTTCCTTCCTTCCTTCCTTCCTTCCTTCCTTCCTTCCTTCCTTCCTTCCTTCCCTCTTTTCTTTCTTTCTTTCTTTCTTTCTTTCTTTCTTTCTTTCTTTCTTTCTTTCTTTCTTTCTTTCTTTCTTCCTTCCTTCCTTCCTTCCTTCCTTCCTTCCTTCCTTTCTTTCTTTCTCTCTTTCTTTTTCTTTCTTTCTTTCTTTCTTTCTTTCTTTCTTTCTTTCTTTCTTTCTTTCTTTCTTTCTTTCTTTCTTTCTTTCTTTCTTTCTTTCCCTCCCTCCCTCCCTCCCTCCCTCCCTCCCTCCCTCCCTTCCTTCTTTCCTTCCTTTCTTTCTTTCTTTCTTTCTTTCTTTCTTTCTTTCTTTCTTTCTTTCTTTCTTTCTTTCTTTCTTTCTTTCTTTCTTTCTTTCTGCCTTGTGGACACAGCACTGTCTACTACAGTGCCCTGAAAATAGTAGATGCTTATAAATGTTTGTTGAATTAAGTTGAATTGAAATGCATTGCCACATTATCCCCTGGATATTGTTATCCAAGCTACCTTTAGGCAGAATAAGACACTCTTTGAAAGACAGAATAAAACTGAAATCGCCCTCCTTTTTTTTTTTCTTTAAGAGCATAAGTCTCTAAGGTTGAGCCTGTAGGATTTTACAATCCAGAATCCAAGATTCCAAGTAGTCTAGAAAACAAGAATGGAAAGATTTCCCTTCTGAAACCTCAGGGACTAGCCAACCTCCAACTCCCCCTTTCCCACCTTTTACTTGCCTGAGCAGCAGGAACTGCTGAGATCAAAAGGAACTGGGAATCAATAGGATTAAAGAGTTGACATTCTTCTATTTTACCACAGGCTGTCGCCCTGGCTCCTTAGACTATCCAGCTGGACAGGAATTCCCTAGAGAAAGCAAAACAGGACTTCATAAAAGGAAGGAGGCTCAAAATTCCAAAGTTTCCTCCAAAGTACCCCTCCTTCTGGTCTCATCAAGGGGCCTGAATGTTAATCTTCCTCAGTCCATACTAGACTCATGACTTTATTTGGGGGGGGGTGTCACATGTTTGATTCTCCTAAGCAAGTTCTTCATTTGGGGCAGGGAGAAGGGAATATGTGTGAGGTTGATACAATTTTTAAAAATCATTCATTTGGACACATCAGGAAGGCCCATTAATTGAGAAAAGTCTGAAATGTGAAAAAAAAAGTAGAAAGAAATAGTTGTGCTCAGTGACTAGAGTACAAGACTTTTGGATAGGGAAGATCTGCATTTAAATTCCACCTCCGACACTTATTAGTTGTGTGACACTGGGCTAGTCGTTTAAGTTTTCTGAGCCTTAGTTTTCTCATCTGTGAAATGAGATGGTTGGACTAGATGCCCTCTAAGGGTCTTTCCAGCCCTAGGTCTATGATCATAAAGATCTATATAGTGTGCTGAGAGACAGCAGTGTGCATAATTGTTGTTTGTCCTTTGTTTCAAAGAGATTCGTGATATTACTGGTGATGTCTTGACTGGAGTGTGAATTGGATTTGAGTGAGGCAGAGTCTCACAAAGTTATCAGCCTCCCTCCCTCTTACAGAGTCCTCAAAGTCCAGTGGCAGGACAAAAGTCAGGATGACTGGGGATGGCCTGGGATGCAGTGGATGACCATGGTGTCTCCAATGTCTCACCGAGCTTTAAGCTCTCTGCTTCAGCTGCCTTCATTGCCATTGGAACAAACTGTTCTCAGGGGAAGTCTCCATATGCTTGAGGTAGACACCCCCCTCTAACTAACTGACATGTTTGAGGCCTGTTGGTTACCCCCAACCTGGTTTAGCCTGTCTGCCAAGACAGTTTTACCAGGGTGGGGCTGCTGAGCACGCTACAGCTTCTTGGGGCCACAGGTGAGAGTTGGGTGAAAGGTGGACACCAAAAGTGGATGAGCAGCCCTGAAAAGGACTCGGCAAGCCCCCACACCAGAGGTATGAACACCCCATGTACCCCAGTGTATATAATGGTGGCACAGTAGAAAGGTTTTAAGTGGCAAGTAGAAAGATTTAGGAAGGAAATCCTGGGGCAAGATAAAAATTTGGTTTTGAATCCTGACTCAGACCTTTACTAGCTATGTGACCCTAAGCAAGTCACCTAAGATCTCAATGCCTGTTTTCTCATCTATTTTCAAAAGTGAGATAAATAATACTGGTATTACCCACAAAAGTGATGTACAAACCTTGAAGGGCTATAGAGATGGGATTTGTTATTACTCATACTAGGTAAATTATAATGCTTCAAGAATAGTAATCCCTCTGTAGTAAATCATTGCTTTAAAGTTTACAAAGCACAACAACCCAGCAAGGTAGAATGCTTTGCCAAGTGTTACCCCTACTAGGGCGATGGGAGGAGGCTGTTTAATGAATAAAAAAGATGTGCAATTAGCATATTGATGGGGATGGTTTGGTTGTCACTGGGTATGGCCAAACTGCTTGAAAGGGATAGAAAACAATCTGTGTCCTAAAGCCATCATCCCAGGGAGCAACTCCTATGGAAAAGGGGCAAGCCAACCCCGCCAACTGCCAACTAACTGCCACTCATAGAGCAGGAGAGAGAGAGGGAGAGGGAGAGAGAGAGATGAGAGAGCATGCTCCACGCAAATCAAACCACCACCACTACTTTTGAGCATCATCTCTCCTCAGATCCTGATGCAGACATCTCAGGACCTTGAATCCGAGAACTGTGGGAAAATCAGTGCCTCTAACCCCATCATCCTTGGGAAGCAACCACAGTGGAGATGGCAACTGCTTTTATAGGTGCTATAGTCACATCTATTAAAGACCTAGAAAAGAAAGTTCTTGTCCCCAAAGTCCTTGGCACTGTCAAATGGTTCAGCATCAGAAACTGATAAGATTTTATCAGTAGAAATGGCATTAAAGAAGCATTACCTGGGTCCTTCCCATGTCACTTGCAGCTGAAACCTTCCATATGTGTTATCTCTTTCATTAGAAGGTGAGTGCCCTGAAAGCAGAGCCTGTTTGACATTTCTATTACTATCCCAAACACTTAGCATAATGCTGGCACTTGCACGTAGTAAGCACTTAATAAATGTTTCATTCATCCATCCATTCAAGTAATTTTAAAGATCTCCAACCTTGCTGGCTTACATTATGAAATTGCATTTTCTCAGAAAAAAAAAAGTTGTATGAAAGAGAGGGGAAGAGGAGCAAACATCAACACAGGCCCTAACAATCATTACAGGTATTGAATTAATGGAGTACAAAAGAATAAGATTTTTATTACTAAAATAATAATAATGAGGTTTTATTATCAGCCTCTCCCCACTCCCACCCTAATACTTCTGGCCTATGTTTGTCTATATTGCCAAATGACTTAGTAGTGGAGCCTGGCCAGGCAGGATGGAAACAAGGTTGGGCAGATGCATGAGTCAAAGGTGTTTTCCTATATTAAAGATAGGAGTAAATTCCCAGGTGACTTTTTTAAGGACTGTTCATAACACTTTGGGGCAAGAAATTCACTTCTAGAGAGCCAGAGGAAAAAAGGAACTCACAAATCCAGGAATTTTGTCAGAAATTTGTACTTAAGATAGAAAAAACATTGGAGTCAAAGACCTGGGATTCAGTTCTGGTTCTGGCTGCCCATTAGCTGTGTCACTTTGGATAAGTCACTTTCCAGCCCAACCCAACCCAATAAATATTTATAAACTTCCCACCTTTCAACCTCAGTTTCCTCATCTATAAAATAAGGGTGTCGGACTAAATTATCCTCAAGTTCCCTTCCAGATCCAGGACTTTGATTCTATGATCAGGCCTCAAATAGCATCATGGGTCAGAGTTGTAAGCTAGAAAGAACCTCAGGAACCAGTTAGAATGGGGGTTCTTAACCTTTTTTTGCATCATAGACCCCTTTGGCACTCTGCCAAAGTCCACCTTCTCAGAATAGCATTATTCAATGCACACAGTAAGGAAAAATGGAATTTACAATGGATTATAATGGAAATCAATTATATTCAAATACAGCTATGAAAATGTTTTTTAAAAATCCACAGACCTTCTCATTTTATAGATGAGGAAACTGAGGTTTAGAGAAGTTAAATGCCTTATTCAAGGTCAGGCAGGTGTTTAGTGAAAGGGGCAAGATTTGAACCCAGGGCAGGATTTGACTCTAGGGTCACTACTAATTCCATTATACTAGGCACAAGCATGATGAATCAATTTGGACTCTTCCAAGTGATTTCTTTGACACTGTGCTTATCTTTCTTGTTCAAAAGAACAAAGGTGACATTGGTGATAGATTTGGTATTAAAAGACTTAGTCCCTCTCTGTCATTGTAACTGAGTAAGCCACTTCATTTCCCAAAGCCTCAGTTTCTCCACATAATGGAGTAAATAATATTAATATTACTTATTAATCTTAAATTACTTATATTAATATTACTGGTAAATCTTAAATGAAACTTAAGAATCATTGTGAGAGGCCAAAGAAATATTTGAATTCATTTATAAACTATAAAATATTACAGAAATATTGCTGTTATCATTAATCCCTGGGTCTGTAATTTATCAGTTTGAGGAACTCTGAATATTGAAATTCCCTCCTTTGATATAGCTTTGCAATTTATAAGTAATTTATAATCTTAGAGAGTTGGCCAGGGCACTAAAAAGCTAAATGACCTGTCCATACAGTTAGTTTAATATAGAAGGATTTGAATCCAAGCCTTCTGACTTTAATGCTGGCCCTCTATTCTTTATTCCAGGCTGCCTCTTCTTATTTCTGCTATCATCGTCATTATTAGTGCTTCAAAGTGCTGTGGAATGTGGCATCTAAGGCCTGCTCTTTGCACGAATCTGATGGAGATGGTCAACATTATAATGCGCCATCTTGATAGCACTCTGCTGCTTTAAAAGGGTCCCTTCCTCTTGCCATGAACGTGACTGTTGCTCAGTAGAATGTCAGATGCCAGCTCCAACGATTGGAAGGCATGCAGCAGTGATGACATAAGCATGTGTGCTCCGTTTGGTCCTCTATGTACATTCAAAACACCAAGCCATTTTAGTTAGACCCTACCTACTGCCAGGCAAATTTATTATACTTGACATTTAGAGTGAATTGGAAAGAAACAGACTGAGTGCAACACACTCAGCTTATCAAATTAGACTACAGTTAAAGGAAATTTAGTGTGAATCTGACTCAAGAATACATGCTCACCACCAGCAACATCCACCAAATTAATGTTATGGGCCAAATTTTTTCAATCACCTAGCAGTTATAGTATAATCATTTTAAATTAAAATAACCTAACCAATACAGCACGCCTACCAGTTCTTAAACTACACACCAATGGGAACTCATTTCCCCACTAGATGTACGTGTGTCTGGGAAGGGTGGGGTAGGGCTATACTTGTATAGTTCCCTACCTTTAACACACACTTAGAAGTCATAAAATTTTAGAGTTGAAAGTAATAATCAATTAATTAGTGAGCATTTATTAAGCACCTATTGTGTACCAGGCACTATGCTAAGCACTAGGGATATAGAAAGAGGCAATAGACAGTCCTTGGTCTCAAGGAACTTACAGTCTAATAGGGGAGACCACATGCAAATGAATATATAAAAAGCAAGCTAAGTTCAGGATAAATAAGAGATAATTATTAGAAGGAAGGTACTGGAATTAAGGTAGCTAGGTGGCTCAGTGGATAGAACACTGGGCCTGACTCATCTTCCTGAGTTCAAATTTGGCTTCAGGTACTTACTAGCTATGTGATCCTGGGAAAGTCATTTGACCTCTGTTTGCCTTAATCTACTAGAGAAGGAAATGGCAAACTACTGCGGTATCTTTGTCAAGAAAACCGCATAGACAGTATGGTCCATGGGGTCACAAAGAGTCAGAAACGACTGAACAACACCTGGAATTA